TCCCGCTCACTGGCTGAGCGAGGCGCGGGAGCAACACCGAGGGTTGCGATCCTGTTTCCGGTCCCGGTCCGGTGCGGGGGCAACACTGAGGGTTGCAATCCGTTGCCGGACACGGAAAAAGACAAAAACAAAACAAAACAAAACAAAAAATAAAAAATAAATGTAAGCACTTATTGCTATATGCTTCTCTTTAGTACTGCTTTTGTTGTATCCCCATAGGTTTGGGTGTGTTGTGTTTTTGTTTTAATTTGTTTCAAGAAATTCTTTGGTTTCCTTCTTAATTTCTTCCTTGACCCATTGTTTGTCCAAAATTTGTCTTGTGATTGATTTCTAGTTTTATTCTGTCAGGGTCTGAAAAGATACTTGATATGATTTCAGCTTTTAATAATTTGTTGAGACTTGATTTGTGGTCTAACGTGTGGTCTGTCCTGGAGAATATTCCATGTGGTGATGAGAAGAATATGTATTTTGGACTTGTTGGATGAAATGTTCTGTAGACATCTGTTCAGTCCATTTGGTCTATAGTGTAGTTTATATATATATATATTTTATTATTGCGTTCCTTTGGGGGTGTCATGTATTTTGGTTTTTCATGTTTCTTGTATTACTACATTGATATCTGGGCATCTGGTAGATCAGTCACTTCTTCTAATTTTTTAGAGTAGCATCTTCTAATTTTTGAAGAACCTCTTTCCTGTGTTCTATAGTGTCAGTTGGGTAGGGTATTTTAGGTTTTGTTCTGGGTAAGTGCAGTAGTATAGTCTCTGTGTGATTTCTTCCACTGTATTTTCTGTTGGAGTTGTCTGTGAGTGCCTTTGTGGCCTAGGTATTGGGATGCTTGGCAGCTCCTTGCTCGAGTGGTGACACTGGGTGAGATGGCTGGGGCTACAGGAAGAGCACCTGGGAGATGCATTGGTGCACTCGGTCACTCCTCAGCTGATGTGGGTTACCCTGGATGGGGTTGTCAGTGTTGCAGTCAGGACCTTGGGGTTCCAGGAGAGGTGCTGTGGTAACCAGCTATTCCTCTCCCAAAGTGGGCAGGGTTGCTGGGGAAATGGGTGGCACCATGGACCCCTGGCAGAAACACTGTGGCACCCTGCAGCTCCTGAGGTGGAGTAGCCAACTCTGGGGGAGGTTGCTGGGGCTGTGGCCAGGAACTTGGACTTCTGCATAAGTACTGCACGCTAACCGATTGTGCCACTTGATCTCTCAACTTGGACTTATGGAAAAGGTGCTGGGGTATTCTGTGGCTCCTCAGCTGGAATAGGTGAGACTGGGTGGGATTTCTGGGCTTGTGGGTGAGATAGCAGGCCCCTTAGAAAGGCATTGAGACACTCTGCAGCTCCTCAGCTGTGGGCAGTGCTGGTGGGACTCAATGTAGAGTTTATTTATCTGTATTGTGTAAGGTAGGGGTCTGATTTCATTCTTTTGCATGTGGATATCCAGTTTTCCCAGTATCATTTGTTGCAGAGGATTATTGTTTTCTCATTGCATATTTTATACATGGGTTTCATCCTGCGCCCTCTATTCTATTTCATGGGTCTGTGTCTCTCTTTATGCCCATATCTACTGTTTTAATTACTGTAGCTTTGTAATATATTTTGACATCAGGAAGTGTGAGACCTTTAGCTTTGTTCTTCTTTCTCAAGACCACTTTGGCAATCCTAGGTTTTTCATGGTTCCATCTGCATTTTCAGATTGTTTTTTTCTATTTCTGTAAAAAATGCCATTGGGGTTTTGGTAGGGGTGGCATTGAATCTTTAGATCACTTTGAGTACATGGACATTTTAACAATATTAAGTCTTTCAATCCATGAACATGGGATGTCTTTCCATTTATTTGGGTCTTCTTTGATCAGTGTTTTGTAGTTTTCATTGTATAAATTTTTTGCATCCTTGGTTATATTTTAATTATACTTCAAGAAATATATATATATATATATATATAAAGAAAATAAAATACTGTTAGAAACAACAGCTTTAACAAAACCAAGCAAGGCTGCTGGGAGCCCATCCTGGGTATGTGGTGGACACACTGAGGGGTCATTGTGAGCAAGGCTGGTTTCCCAGGTCCTACTGTTACCATTCCTCACCAGTTCCCTTCCCTGCCCCTTCTTCTGGGTTTGCTTTGCACAAGCCCAGCACACAGCTTGCAAAGCAGAGCAGGTCTGGAGGAGGGCACCCAGGTACGTTCTTTACTGAATAAGTTTGCTCCCTCTTGGTTTTAGATGTTGGATGATCATGTTCTGTTATGTTTTGTTTCAGACCCTCCTCCACCAGATGGATCCCCTAATATTACATCTGTCAGTCACAATTCAGTAAAGGTCAAGTTCAGTGGGTTTGAAGCCAGCCATGGACCCCTCAAAGCCTATGCTGTTGTTCTCACCACAAGCGATGGTAAGGAGGGGCTACCATGGGTTATACCATCAGTGAGTGATGCTGAGACCAGGTGGCATTTCTGTGCCCACGGAGGCACATTAGTGATGCAGATGCATGCCTTTCTTTACATGGCAGCCCCCGCTTTGGTGCTGAGATGAGGGAGAGGGTGAGCCATTCACTCAGTGATCTAGGTCAGGGTCAACACACGTTCTGTAATGGGCCACATAGCAAATGTTTTAAGCTTTGCAGGCTCTACAGTCTTGGTAGCAACTGTTCAGTTCTGCCATTGTAGCGTAAAAGCTGTCAGAAGATATGTACAGAATGAGCATAGCTGTTCCCATTAAATGTTATTTACCAAAAAAGACAGTGGCCGGCTTGGCCTGTGGGACTTGCTGATGTCTGATCTAGGTTTTTCTTCGTTTTTTTTTTTTTTTTTTTTTTCTTTTTCCGTGTCCGGCAACGGATCGCAACCCTCAGTGTTGCCCCCGTACCGGACCGGGGACCGGCAACGGGATTGCAAACCTTGGTGTTGCTCCCGCGCCTCACTCAGCCAGTGAGCGGGAACCGGTCTGTATGTGGGATCCGAACCCTCGGGTGGGAGCGCTGCCGCGCTTCCCAAGCGGCGCACTATCCAGTGCGCCACCGGGCCGGCCCCTTTCTTCGTTTTTATAACACAGGGTCTTTTAGGTGGCAGAATGTTAACCTTTTATGTATTTATTTATTATGAATATTCATGAGATACTAAGCTGATTGTCACCCCTTGTGCCCATGATGTGAGAGCCAGATTCATACTGGCAGCATGCCCATTACCAGAAATTGCTTTTGTACCCCATGTCCCCCACCTAATTATCCCCAACCTCCCTCCCCCTAGAATATTAATCTTAACCAACTTTGTTTCTAAAACACACACACACATGCACACATCATCATTATCCTCAGAGGATGACTTTCTCTGAAAAGAAAGCAGAAAAAGATTTTATCAGCTAGTGGGAACTTGCAAAGAGTGTCCCCATAGCTGAGAAAGGAGGTGGGTTAAATGCTGCTTTTCCTTAAAGGGCTCTGTTACCAACTCTGGAAGTGAGAAGTCTGTCTCACTGTATTTCGAGAGTGTCTTTGTTACCTGCATGTGAGAGCTTTGCATAAGGCCTTTATTTAAAATGCCAAGTTTTGTTGTTTTTGATGATTCTATAAATGAGCTGTGATTAATGCAGAGCTACCTCTGCCCAGTCTCTCCCCCTGTCATGTCATCTTCATCTCCTCCAGGAGGTTAGAGGACAGGCACACTGTCAGTGATGGGGGGTTCCTGGAGGATAGAAATTTGCTGGTGTCATAAACTTGTGGCAAAATTTCACAAAGTGGTGTTGAGATCTCTATTGCTTTCTGTGTTTTTATTTTGGGTCTGTTTCAAGTTCTTTGTCATTTTGCTATTATGGTTTTCAACAAATCTTGGGCTCAGACCTTTGCTGAACAATGGCCATTGTATTCCCTAGTGCTCAGGCTGACCCCTTCCTGCCTGTGCTGAGGGAGACCTCGAGCTCTGAGCCAGGTGGTCTGGGGAGAAATCTAGCTCAACCACGTGGGTGGAGTGACCGTGGGCCAGGTCCTGTATGCTTTCTGTGCCTTCATTTTCTCATCTATTAAATGGGCGTAACGAGCTTATGTGGTGAGATTCATGGGGATGAAATGAGTTTATGTAAGTACAGCCCTTTAGAATTTAATGGAAAGCCTAGCAGAGAGAGATACTTGAGAGGTGGCTGCTGGTGTCACTGTCACCTAGAGACACCATCATTATTTAGATCTGTGGGGGAATTAAATCTCTTCTGCCATCACTTTCTCATGATTTTCCTTCCGTGTGCCTTTCTTAGCTGGTCACCCTTCTGCAGATGTTTTGAAATATACATATGAAGATTTCAAAAAGGGGGCCTCAGATACTTATGTGACATACCTCATAAGAACAGAAGAAAAGGGACGTTCTCGGGTCTCCTCTGAAGTTCTGAAATATGAAATTGATGTTGGGAACGAGTCCACCACACTCGCCTACTACAACGGGAAGCTGAAGCCTCTGGGCTCCTACCGGTAATGCCCTCTGGTTCCTGCAGTTTGAGGCTGAGCCTTGTGAGCCCAGAGCTCTGCATGCCTGTGGCGTTAGACACGTCTCAGTGGCCTCTTTTTGCTCTTTGTCATCCCACAGGGCTTGTGTGGCCGGCTTCACCAATATCACCTTTAACCCTCGCCATGCGGGCCTCATCGATGGGTCTGAGAGCTACGTGTCCTTCAGTCCCTATTCAGATGCCGTTTTCTTGCCCCAGGATCCAGGTAGAGGAAAAGCGACAGTTGCCAACTCCGTGTGTGTTTCCTTCAAAGTGTGCACAGAAGGCTGGTGTCTGCATGCCTCCCTGGGACCCCCAGGAGGGCTGGATGCCAGTCTCTCTCCTCTCAGAAGTCAGGATGCAACCTGGTCATCAGGCTCAGCTCAGCTTCTTCCTCTGAGGTCCCTGGAAGCCCTGGCCCATCAGTTTTCTTTTTCTAACAACCAGTTGCATTTCCAATCTGCAAAGACTATTTAGTCCTTTTATCTGAATGTAGTCATTTAAGTGCCCATTTGCAAGGCCCACCGTGTGACTTTTAGTGTGAATATTAGCATTAGAAGGAGCCACAGAAATTGTCTTGTACAATCCCCCATTTAGAAATAAGGCTGTTAAGGCTGCGGGTGGGGATGTAACTGGCACAGGGTTACACAGTGGCTTAGAGGCAGGAATTCTGGTCTTGGATTCCTTGTCGGGTGTTCCTACTCTTTACCACATGGAGATAAGTGATATAGAAACTTCGGAGACCCAAGGGGGGCAGTGGCTTAGAGGCAGGAATTCTGGTCTTGGATTCCTTGTCAGGTGTTCCTACTCTTTACCACATGGAGATAAGTGATATAGAAACTTCGGAGACCCAAGGGGGGGGCTATGTCCCCTATCCCCAGGTCATAGGCAAATTGACAGACTGATTCATCAGTTTGTCTGTTTTTTTCTACTTGGTAGTTGTTTAGTGCAGGAGAGAAATCCTGCACCAGAAACAAAATTCAGGGAGTCCCCAGAGTCCCCACACCATCCCCCAGTAAACAAACAGGTTCCATGTTGCCTGAGCTTGGTGCTGTAGGTACTTCTGCTTCTGTGGGAGTGATGGTCTAAGAAGTCAGAGGAAACGCACTGCTCCCTTCAGTTCCCTAAATTTGCAGTTGAGGAAACTGAGACCTGGAGAGAAATATTAACTTTCTTAAGAGTATCCAGTGAGTGGTGAGCTGGGGACAAAGAACCCAGCTCCTGAACGTCTGGGCTAATTCAGCTCTCCTTGGTGTGTGTGTGTGCGTATGTGCGTGTGTGTGCATGTGCATGCCAGTTGTTCAGGCAGTGTGTGGTCCTGTGTGAAGACGTCTTGAAATGTCTCCCGTTTGGACCTTCCCCAGGTGTCATCTGTGGAGCGGTTTTTGGATGTATCTTTGGTGCTCTGGTTATTGTGGCTGTGGGAGGCTTCATCTTCTGGAGAAAGAAAAGGTGATCTTGTTTATGTTAATATTACTACTCTACTTTTTTTTTTTTTTTGTCCTTTTTTGTCTTTTTCCGTGTCCGGCAACGGATCGCAACCCTCAGTGTCGCGCCCGCACCGGACTGGGACCGGCAACAGGATTGCAACCCTCGGCGTTGCGCCCGTACCTCGCTCAGCCAGTGAGCGGGAACTGGTCTGTATGTGGGATCCGAACCCTCGGCGGGAGCGCCGCCGCGCTCCCAAGTGGTGCACTGTAGCAGTGCGCCACCGGGCCGCCCCCCTACTACTCTACTTTTTAAAGAATCTTTTTATTATGGAAAATTTAAAGCATTCATAAAATTGGAAAGAATGGGATAATGAGCTCCATGTTCCCGTCATCCACAGTGTTGACATCTGGCCAGTCTCACTTCATCTAGACCCCAGCTGGGTGGTTTTAAAGCTGATCCCAGCCGTCACATCAGGCCATTAGTAAACATGACAGTGTAGGATGCTGCTTTCAAATGGTGTGTTCTAGTTTACAAATGGGTTTCACGTTATAGTGTTAGGAAATTTCATTTTGGAGTTAGCTAAGTTTGAACACACGCTCCGTCTCTGACTGGCTGTTAGGAGGCTTAGCCTTAACGTCCTCATCTATGATATGAGGATAATAAATGTGCCTAACTCATGAAGCTGAGGAGTGTTGAATAAATATAGCACTTTGCACAGTGTCTGCACCTCCCAGGCTGTTCTACTATTTTTTCTGTACTGCTACCATGTGGGTGGTTAAATGGTGAAAATGGCAGCCTGTGCTGAGTGCCCACCATGTGCCTGGCTCCTTGCCTTCCATGAATCTCTCCTTCATGAGGCTGTGGGAGGCCGGTCTTGGGAGCCCCATTCCAAGGCTGCAGAGACTGAGTGTAGGAAGTGTGCAAACGGAGCTGGAACCTGTCTTTGCACGTCATTACACGCCCGCTCCCCTGACCGTGCGGTGCGTGGAGCCTGTGCATTAGTTGGGATGCATTTGCTGTCAGGTGGTTGTACCTGAGCGTTTCATCCTGGCCTCGGTTTCCAGCCTGGCCTCTGCCACCGCCTCATGCTTGTCTTGCCCTGTTGAGTTGATGGGCAGTGCTCGTGGTCCAGTCTTTTGCATTAGGTTCTGGTTTTTGGAGAGAGGGTAGGGCTGTGGCTGGGTAAAACAGCTTTATTGTCTCTTGTTAAAAATAAAAGTATACATGCTTATGGCAAAAAATATAGAAAAGAAGAGCAAGGAATATAGGTAATCCGTGATTGTAGCACCCACACAAATGCACACACACACGGAATCTTATATGTGGTGGTGTCTAGCTGCTGAATACACTTGCCGCAGTGTGGACAGCTTCGTCTCACCACCATTTTAAGTGGCTACAGAGTAGCCAACTGTATGGAACTACAGTACCGTTATTTATTTAACCAATTTCCTGATTTTTTTTTTTTTT